AACTTGTCCATTCCTATTACATCCTCTTCTGCATATCCAGCTTCCTCAAAGTAGTTCTTAGCTTTCAGTATCTTTTGAACAATCTAAGAGGCTTACTTTGGCTCAGCACCCCACAAAGAGTTATGTTTCTTGTAGTAAATGTGAATCCATTGCACCCACATCTATACATTTTCCTTGCATAGGTTCCATAGAAGTTTGCAAACAACTGCTTTATTCCATGTTCCTACATTAAGCAAGTTAAGTCCACCTGTTGCTCTAGGTTGGCACAGTTTGTCCCAAGCCAGTAGTGCTTTCTTTGATACCTCCACCCCTCTAGTCTATAGGAATCTTTGACACATATTCTCAATTAGTTGAATCAGCTTCTTTGGTAACAGAAAAATCTGGGACCAGAATACTTGAATAGAGAAGAGAACATTTTTAATGAGTTGTATTCTTCTTGCATAAGATAGAAACCTTGAAGTCCAAGACTGGATTCTCCCTAACATCTTCTCAATGAGAGGCTGGCACTAAACAAGTAATAGTCATTTGGTACCTAGGGGCACCCCCAGATATCTAAGTGGTAATGTCCCTTTTGAGAAGCCTAAGACTTGCAATATCTTCTGTTGAATATTCTTACTTACTCCTCCAAAGAAAATAAAACTTTTGTTAGCATTAGCAACTAGTCCTGAGGCCTTTGAGAATTTCTGAAAGCATTTATATATCACCTCTACAGAAGAGCAGTAAATCATTAGCAAAACTGAGCTGGACAATATTCATTTTGGCACACTTAGGATGGTAGTTGAAATTAGGGTCCCTCCTGAGTGTCTTTAGAAACATGGTCAAGTACTCCATATCCAACACAAATAGATAAGAAGATAAGAGGTCTCCCTGTCTCAAACCTTTTATTAGCCCGGAATGGTGTTATAGGCTGCCCATTAATGATGATGGAATATGAGACAGTTGTCACATACCTCATAATCCATTACACAAACTTCTCTGGGAGCTGTAGATTTGTCAACACTTATTCCAAATAACCTCATTCCACAGAATCATAAGCCTTCTTCATGTCCACTTTCATCATGCATCTAAGGGATACACTTTCCCCGCCATACCCTTTCATTAGTTCATGGCTGAGAATTATATTATCATTTATCAATCTACCATACATAAAGGCTGACTGATTCCTATTCACCAGACCATCCATTACTCCTTGAAGTTTATTTGTTAGCACTTTAGATATAATTTTGTATATTAATATACAACATGATATTGACCTATATTCAGTGACTCTAGAAGGGTTGCTCACCTAAGGTGCAAGGGTGGGTGATTGTTGTGCTGTTTATAGGCTGATACATATTTGTACTTGAGAAAAACTCCAACACAATATTTGTAATTATATTTCCTATCACAGGCCAAGCTCTTTTTAAAATAATACATTGAAGCCATCAAAACCATAAGCTTTGGTGTCACTAATGCATGTCAAAGCATGGTAGATTTCATCTCTAGAGATATCAGCCACCAGATGTAATTGTTGTTCTCTATTCACCAATGGGCCATCTCTCATCACTATTCGGTTAATAGCAGGCAGTTCTGTAGCTGAGGAGCCTAGCAACTATCTATAGAACCTTGTTACTTCCTCTTCAATTCCTTGCTTTGTTTTGTACCAGATCCTCATTGGCCCTAACTAGTTTTATAATTTTGTTTTGGCTGTATCTGCTCTTCATGCTTGCAAAGAGGTATGTTGTATTAGCATCTCCAATGTTCAGCCATTGTACTCTTGATTTTTGCTGCATAATACTTTCCTCCCACCCCTAGCGAGTTCTCTAATTGTGCCTTTATGTCTTTCTTTGCTGAAACCATAGCCTCTGGTTGCCCGGGGACCCTTATTTGTTCATGCATATCACATAGATGTTGCCTACATTATTTTATTCGATTGTCAACTGCATTATACTCTACATTATTTAGAGCCTTCATAGTTTGCTTTACTCTTTTCAATTTCTGTCATGTATCCTTCATAGTTATCTGTTCATTTGACCCCTCTCATGTTTTACTGACTGGTGTCATAAAGTCTTTGTGCTCTGCTAGGTGATTTAGGAATTTGAATGGTTTAGGAGCTTTGTCTTCAACATCTTCCAAGGTTATTCTTAGTGGGGAATGATCAAAGCATGATGGATTCATTACCCATACTTCTAGGTGTGGCATAGTCAGCATCCACTCAGCATTAACTAAAACTCGATCAATCTTGCTATAGGTGTGCCCATTAGTCCATGTAAAGCTTCTTCCACTAGTCTTCATTTCTACCAGCCCAGTATCTGCAATAAAATTATTAAAGTCTCTAATCTCCATTTCTTGCACAAGGTTACCAATTGGTCTATCCTCTCCTGATCTAATAGTATTATAGTCACCCATTATCAATCATAGACCTTGATGTACAGCCTGTAGGCTTGTCACGTCACTCCATAAACTTCTCTTGTCATCCAAAGTGTGCAGCCCATAAACACATGTAAAGGTAAACCTCATATTCAATCTCTTAATGCTTACCGAAACATGTATGAACTGGGATGATCTCCCTAAATCCATATAGTCTACCTCATTTGTATCCCACAGTAGCCTGATTCTTCCTCTACTACTATACTCATAATTAGCTAACCAGGCCCATCCAGGAGTTATTTTTCTGATTACTTGCATGGACTTCTGCTCTTTTATTTTATGCTCTAATACTGCAATCATATTAACTTTATTACTTCTAATGAACAACTTTATCTCTTTTTGTCTAGGGGTCTTGTTTAGTCCCCTTATATTTCATGTAACCAGCTTCATACAGGTATAAAGAGGGATTGTGAAGGCCTATCCTGCCCTGTATTACTTCTCTGTCTACTTGGTCCTTCCTCCATTTGCCTTGGTACTGTTAGTTGTAGTCTAGATTCTGTTAGGATATTAAAGCCATTGATCATGTTGACTGTATCAGCTACTAGTCTCTCTCTGCTCCTAGATGTTGATTTCCCTATAACTTTGTGCCATGCTTAGTCCTCACCTCTTTTGGTTGGTTCTGCATTTGGATCCAAAAGACTGGTGCTGGCATTTTCTCCAGCACTAGGAATTACCATCTCTTGTTGACCATTGTTAGTTGTAGGTACTTCCTGCACTTTTAGCACAGTTTTAAGCTGCCATTCCTGCTTCTGCTTCTCCCGGTTTATTTTTTTCAGTTTGTAACTTAGAAAAAATTCTTAATGTCAATATTAACAAAGGCGGTAACTGAGAATTCGGAGAAGATATAAAATATTAATTCATTCTCTATTTCATATAATTGAGGGTCGAAAGAGGCAAATCGTATCTTTAATGACTTTAATGGGATTTTTCTTAAGGTACAAATTGGAGGGAATTAACGAAGAAGTTCGTCATGGTGGGTTCTTCGGTTTAAAACGGCTCGTGACATCCTTCTCTAGTCAATTCCGTCAAAGATAATATTGCCATGTAATTTAATAATAAAATAGACCAATAGCACTCAAATTTACCAAAACTGCTCATGTACATATTTAAAGAATCATTTAAATCAACTACTAAAGATCAAGGACTATTTTTGTCATTTTCTCGACCGTTCAAATACAAATGTTACTTTAGACAACACTTATATGAAAAATATTAGAAACTGAAATTACATCAGAAAAAGAGAAAATGGCCAAATATGCCCCTCTACTTTCGGATAATGTTTACATTTAACATCTGTTATACTATCCGGTCAAATTTATCCCTACTGTTATACTATCCGGCCAAATTTATCCCTACCAACAATAATTTTTTTAAAATTACCCCTTTATCTATTAGGCAATCCAAAATCTCTCAATTTTCTTTTATTTAAATCACTTGTTGTTCTTCTTGCTCCACTACAATGCTAAAGATACTAGACTATACAAACTATTCATGGATATTTTTAATAACTAACTTTCACCCACTTCATCTTGTGATAATGGGTTTGGAATTGGTTTATTTTATTTATTTTTTAACTATATACACATTGTAGAATTCAATGAGTCTATTTATTGTGTATTATATGCAGTTGCTCATCATGTATGTACATGTATATTCGAATATATTTTGTTATTGTATGGTTAGTATAGAGTTTGATCAACTAACTTAAGAGCGCATAATGGATAGGCATTTGGTTAAAGCAAAGTTGAATTCGACAATATAAAGTCTCCAAAAAACTTTAACTTCTGTCACTAAGACTTGCAAAGTCTTCGTACCTTTGGTGCAACGAATTCATTAGAGTTGGGGTGCTGTAAATACTTTTGAAATTTAGACAAGCGACCTAATTTAGATTTTTCAATTTACTATACTTTGTTTACTAGCCGTTGTATTATTTTAATATTTTTTTCTCTTATTTTTTTTTCAATTAAGAAAGTAGGTACATGCCAACTGTTTTTATAATAGTAGATCAAGAAAAAGAATAAGTGACTTAATTAAAATGATTTAGAAGGTTCTGGGTCATCTGACGGACTGAGGGGTAATTTTTAAAAGTTTGCTGATGGTAAGAGTAAATTTGGCCGGATAGTATAACGGTAGAAATAAATTTAGCTGATTAATATAACGGAGGTTAGGTGTAGACAATATTCAAATATAGAGAGCTAAATTTGGACCTTTTCCCTTAGAAGAAAGGTTAAAGATAAGAATAAAAGAAGAGGGGTGTGTTTAGTTAGAAGGAAAATGACTTAAAGGAAATATTTTTCAAAAAAAGTAATTTTTTTATGTTTATGATGACAAAAAAAAAATTCGATAAAGAATATTTTTCATCAAAGAATGATTTTATTCATCTATGGTCCTTATAACTCTCTTTTAACTTTTAATTTCTTATTGCCTATTTCAACTTACACCTAGATAATATTATTAATCTTTAATAGATAAATATTCCATCGAAATACTCTCCAATTTATTAATATTATTTATTAATTTTTGTTATATATTTTTTCTGAAAAATTATTTTCCAAGAAAACATTTACTTCAGTCGTATCAAAGTAACACACAAGCTTGCAATCTCAAAATTTATTTCACAAATAGCCAATCTCTCTTTCCGAATCAACAATTCCACCAAAAGGTGAACAAAGAGAAATTAGCAGTAGAAAGAGATGGAAGTATGAGCTGCAGTTGAAAATGAAATCCTCATTTCTGTTTTTTTTCCTTCTCTTTTCTACTTACTTTTGCAATGGGATCGCATCAACTTCCTCTGCGATGCATACTAACAATTGGGCTGTTTTGGTCTGCACTTCTCGTTTCAGGTAATTTTTGCTTTTCGAGCTGCCTTTTAGCAATTTATTAACAGATTTGTGCTGGGGTTAGGTTGGGAGGGAAATTAGGGTACGGGAACTTGGAAAACCTCCATGAAATAGCTTACGACCAATCTAACTTAGTACACTACTAAACAAAATTGAATTGACGCATAGTTGATTGATTGATTGGTCGGTTTTATTCTAATTCAGTGTAATGAGCTTTTAAGTCAACTTTGTGTATATATGATCTTACATTAAATTTGGATGTATACCATGTTATGATCCTTCTTGAGCCGAGGGTCTATCGAAACAACCTCTCTATCTTCACAAGGTAGGGGTCTGTGTACACACTAAGCTCGCCAGAACTCACTTGTGGGACTGCACAGAGTATGCTGTTGTTGTTATTGTATATCGTGTTATGATCCATTGCAAGGTATGAGACTCGAGCCCTACATCAGTATTGCAATATGCTGATGTGGGGTTTATATAGCCTTGGGCTCTCCCACCTCGCACTTTGTGAGATTCTACTGGGTCGTTGTTGTTGTTGTCGCTCTCCCACCTCAAGAGCTAGCTTTGGGGTATAGTTCTCCCTTTGTTGTATCATGCCCATAAAAATGATGTGTCTATAGCATCCAAGAGTGTGGCTTAGTGGTCAATAAAGTAGATGCAAAACCATGAGGTCTCAGGTTTCAAATCCTTACGTGGAGGCAAGAAAAAGAAAATACTATGTAGGTGATTTCTTCCCATTTGACTTAGCCTTGGTGGGTAGAGTTACCTGGTACTTGTGCTGGTGGGACATCACATGTATCTCATCAGATAGTCGAAATGCATCAAGCTCTGGCCCCGACACCACCGTCATCGAAAGAAAATTTGTCTATAATGGAGTCATGTCAGCTCTTATTAGGCGCGGTAATTTTCACCATGAATGGGGGACTAAAAGAGGTGTTTATTGAAGAACTAATGGTGGTAGAATGATAAGTTTTTAACTGTGATTAGCCTTAATTCGAGAAATTACGAGTTTCCAAAACCTGCTGTTGTTAATTAAAGGCTCTCTGTGTGCAATACTTACTTTTTAGCTGGTACACTTCAAGTTTAACTATAGACACTGGATTTAGCTTTGATACAGGATAATCAAAGAGTTCCTGAAACCATTTATCATTACTTAGAAAGCGTTATGTTTGCAAGAGTCTTGGCTTATTTGTTTTTACTCTTCAGGTTTAATTACAGACACATGGCTAATACTTTGTCTCTGTACAGGTGAGAATCTGGTTGTTTAAGCACCCATTGTGATCATCATTGATTATCTTTGTCTTCCTTTCCATTTCTGAGCTTCATTAGCTGCGCTCTAATTTCTTTTCTCTTTGTTCTTTGAAATCAGAACTGTAAAACGATTAGGCATACCTGATGAAAGAATTATTCTGATGTTGGCTGATGATATGGCTTGTAATTCTCGGAATAAATATCCTGCACAGGTCTTTAACAATGAAAACCACAGGCTAAACCTATATGGAGATAACGTTGAGGTGTGTAAAGTTTCTTCCTCTGTCTTGCCTTTCAATATTGCTCCCGAATTTAATGTTAATTCTATAAGATATTCTATGTGGTTGACATTTACCTTAGCATTATCAATTTAGTTATTCTTATCATGGTCGAGATACGTAGTAATGGATACTCATGGTCAACAACTTAAATTTGAGGATAGACAATGAAAGGAAGGCGACACGGACGACCACACCGTCATGCTTTTCTGGAGTATATGGAATAATTAGAATAGGTGATTGTTTCATAATAATGAGGAAGATGTAGAAACATCACGAGTTCTTTTTTATTTCAATTGTATTTTTGGTGTAAGACTATAAGGAGGAAATACTATGATGTATGCATACTTGGACAAACTTGGTGGAAGACAATGAGTGACACAAAAAGAGCTAGATACACATCTTCCACATATTTGTTGACAACAACTTGGTGTTTATTAATGAAATCCTTTGACTTTATCAAAGAAAAAATTCCAGCATTTTAAACAATTTTAGCCGGGTGAGGTCAATATTTTTCTCCTCGCACTGTTGTAAATTATATGTTTGCACTAAATATTCTCTTCAATTCACTTCTATATATATCTTCGGACTGGCTTTATGAGTATATGAATTTCACAGAATTCAGGTTGTTTTTGTTATCTATTTACTGTAGTGGTCTAATTTAACAAGCTTCTAAACATCAGGTAGATTATCGAGGTTATGAAGTAACGGTTGAAAATTTTTTGAGGGTATTGACTGGTCGTCACGAAACAGCTGTCCCAAGATCAAAACGTCTTCTTAGTGATGAAGGAAGCCACATACTTCTGTACATGACAGGGCATGGTGGAGACGAGTTTTTAAAATTTCAGGATTCAGAGGAGCTTCAAAGTCATGATTTAGCTGATGCAGTGAAACAAATGAAAGAAAAGCGTAGGTAAAGAAATCAGCCTTGTTTTTCGTTGTTTGTTAATGTTTTGTTGAAAAATAAAATTGATTGTAATGCAAAATTTGCTTAGGAATCATATGGACTTTGTTGTCTCCCATTTTAAACTGATAAGGGCCTGTTGGATATCTGCTTTGAATCTACTCTGTTTGGTGCTATGGCATTTATGTGCATGACTCCTTGTCGGTTGTAGCTTATTGATGCTGAATTGATCAGATAGTTTCTTTGCTGGTCCTATGAATGATGTTTTGTCATGTCTCCATTGTTGAATTTCAGATTCAAGGAGCTGCTAATAATGGTTGACACTTGCCAAGCTGCTACTCTTTTCTCTCAGGTGACTTTTGCCTTTTTGTCATTAATGCAATGCTGTTCTTGCAAAACGTTCAATGTCACATTGCTACCCTCTATTCTTGCATCATCTAATCGTAGTTAGTCCATAACTACCAATGTTCGTCCATTCTCCTATTGTTGTACTTGAAGCATCTAAAGAAACTAATTTTGGTTTTATGTGGCTGGTCTTTTAATGGATTTTTGTTTTCTGTTAATTAACTTTTTTGTAAGTACCTCTAGGTATATTTTGAATGACTCGCCACCTCCTAACCTTTCAGCATGCCAAGTAGTTTGACCTTCCCAAGTTTAGTGATTGGGGATGCTAATCTTCACCTGCAAAATTTTTGTATGACATGACTTAAGGATGACAAAGGTAGAACTATTTGAAGACTGGCATTGATGCAATAAAACTCTGTTGAAGACGTGATTCATTTCATTCATCATTTTTTGCAAGTTAATACTCTACTCAGGAGTTAACTGTAATGATACTAGTAAAAAAGGATCACTGGTTGATGATTGGGGTTGAAACTTATTCTTGTTCCAGATTGTGCCTATAGTTTCTTGCTTATAAATTGATGAAAAGCATACTCTGAGCAAATTGAATTTCTAACTCCGAATTCAGTAGATATCAGACATATGTGGAAATTTCTGAGGAAAGCCCATATTCCAATGCTTTTGAGATTAGAGTCCCATGGTTGGACTATTCGCAGACATCTGTAGTAATTAAGTATGATGACATCTGGCTATCCGAACTTGATATTTAATCAGAAAGACTTTGAGTTATGATTGTAGATTGAGAAGTTTCAGATTCAGTGTATTTTTTTAATTTTTCTCAGTACCTTAATAACTATCTTAAATCTCATTTTCTCTTTGATTTACATTCTCTTAATGGTAAGGATGCCTTTATCAACCCCCCCCCCCCCCCCGTCCCAAAAAAAATTTAAAAATAAAATGGGTTAGGTTACTTTTCAAATCAGGTCCACTCAATGCATAAAACATTGTTGCTTGGTCCTTCTCACACATTCAGTAACAGGCTCTCTAACTAGGTTGGTAGAACTGAAATATATTTTCCCTTGTAGCTTCAATCACCTGGCGTTTTGGCAATTGGGAGCAGCATGAAAGGGGAAAATTCATACTCACATCACTTGGATGCTGATGTAAGTCTTAACTTAATGAAAGACTTGTTTAAAATGCCTATTATATCGACAAGGCAAAAGAATATGTTCTCCTTGTACTCGCAAAATTCTGTGAGTTTTCATCCTCCTTTCCTTCTCTGATACAGGTTGGCGTTTCAGTTATAGATCGATTCACATTTTATACCCTTGCATTTTTTGAGAGGGTGAACATATATGCTAATGCCTCATTGGGCAGGTAATTACATTTCACAACTGGAGGCAATACTGGTCGCTTTTCTTGATATCTATAGATTTTAAGCTGTTTTTCTTGAAATATATGGATTGTATCAACTACTGACATCAACTTAACTATCCATTGCTAGTTTGTTTTACATTTTTTCACTGTATTTAAGGCTACACAAGGGCAATAGTCTGTATATATGCTTATGATAAATGGACCTTGGGCCTAACTCAACCCCAAAAGCTAGCTCATGAGGTGAGGATTGCCCAAGACCATATAAAGAGGCCACAAAAACCTCATCACTCACAAACCCCCTCATGCCCAGGCCTGCAAACTGGAGTGTGGACAACATATATAGGGGTCCAACATTGGTAAATAGGCCTGGCTCTAACACCATGACAAATGAACCTTGGGCGTAACTCAGCCCCAAAAGCTAGCTCGTGAAGTGAGGATTGCCCAAGACCAATAAAGAGTCCACGAAACCCTCATCCCACCGATGTGGTACTCAACAATTTAAAATGGGTATAAATTATTCCTTAATGGAGATTAGGCTTGCATCATTATCAAAAGGAGAGCCATCCACTAGCTGAGTAGGGTAAGAGAGAAAGGAGATATCTTTTTTGAAGCTGCAATGGCCATCAGTTATGGGTTTTACTTGATAATAAAAATGCTGAAGTATACTCCTTTAATTGATTATTGGGGATAATTCAGAAATTTTGAAGGATAACGATTGGCTGTCAAGGGTCTGATTGTGGCCTGGCCCACAAGGATTTTCTTTAATCAAATGGAAAGAGTCTTATCCAAGGATTTTCGATTTGGACTTTACCTTATATTTAGAAGGGCAAAGGTCCAAATATGCCCTTGTACTATACGAAATTGAGCATATTTGCCCTTCATTAATACTTTAGCTCAAATATGCCCTTACCGTCACATAGTTGGTCCATATATGCCCTTAGAGTTACACAGTTGGCCCATATATGCCCTTTTCGAAACGGAATTCACCCAAACTAATTAGCTCTTTCTTTAATTGTATTAAAGTATATTACAAACACTATTTCCTTTTTATTAGTACTTTTTTTTCTTTATCTTTCTCTTTTCTTTCTTCTTTTTTCTTTTCTTCTCTTTTTTTTTCCTTTTTCTTTCTCCCTTATCCGATTTCCTCCATTAATGATGTCTTCTCCATTTTCATCACCAATTTCATTTGACAAAACTCATGAATTCCAATTACTAAGAAAATTCTCCCATAAGGTAATAAAGTTCCAATTTCACTGGCCCTCTAAATAAACGAAATTAAATTGTTCCAAAAATTATGGTTTAAACTTTAAAATAATAAAAACATCTCAACCTTTAACAATACTCAAAAGACCAAAATATTTAAATTATTTTCAGAAAGATAATTTAATGATTAAAAGCCTAGAGTTCAAGTTGTAGTATTATAAATTTGAGTTATGGGAGATAATTTAATAAATTTAATGATTATCAAATTGGAACTTGATTACCTTATGGGAGAAATTTCTTAGTAATTGGAATTCATGAGGTGAAATTGGTGATGAAAAGGAGAAGACATCATTAATGGAAGAAATCAGATAAGGGAGAAAGAAAAAGGAAAAAAAAAAAAAAGAGAAGAAAAGAAAAAAGAAGAAAGAAAAGAGAAGAAAAAAGAAGAAAGGTAAAGAAAAAAAAGTACTAATAAAAAGGAAATAGTGTTTGTAATACACTTTAATACAATTAACGAAAGAGCTAATTAGTTTGGGTGGATTCCGTTTCGAAAAGGGCATATATGGGCAAACTGTGTAACTCTAAGGGCATATATGGACCAACTATGTGACGGTAAGGGCATATTTAAGCTAAAGTATTAACGAAGGGCAAATGTGCTCAATTTCGTATAGTATAAGGGCATATTTGGACCTTTTCCGTATTTAGAAATGCTGCATGGGTTATTGAAATCTTTTAAGCAATGCTTGGAACTTTAGAACGGGGACTGTTGTAGAGGGTAAACGGGAGTGCTTATTTGGTAACATGGGTGCTAATTGCCTTGCCTGGGTTGGCATCTTGGATAACCTACATGTCATGGACTCAAGCAGCAAATTGGACCAAAAGTAGATCCAGAATACTTGGTGTAGTTTGAAAAGGTTAACTGCACTGGGTGCTTGACTGCTGGTAATTCCTTCTGTTAGGTTGACTATGCTCTCATGGATCCTAGAAATTCTATGTGCCTCTCTTCCTGTTTTTTTTTTCAATCTCCTTTTTCCTGTCTTAATCAGAAGATGATGTGTTTTGGACATTGATCTCAATGTTAACTCTTTCTGATAGACTTTCTTTAAATTTTTTTTCCTCTTTGCAGCCTTTTCAGTTCATATAATCCAAATATGCTGATGTCAACTGCATATTATCGAACAGATCTATACCCTCGTCGACTAGAAGAGGTACAACTTTATGCTAGTTTCTGTACCATGCAACCCTGCCCTCCCCCCTACCCCGACTCCCCCAAAAGAAAAAGGAAATACATGGAAAGAAAAAAACTTGTTGAAAACGAAAAAAAAAGAAAGAGAAAGTAAAGGATCTTAGTGGGGATAGGATAAAGTAAAGGAAAAGTTGCACTTCTTCGGTCCCACTTTATGTACGGTTGATTGGTTAAGAAGCTGAAGATGTTATTTTGACTTGCATGATACATTAGTAGTAGTGGAAGAAATTATCAAAATTGTTGTAAAAGAGTTAGTTAATTTAATAGGACCCCAGTTTCATCTAAATACAGTGCACTTCATTTCTTTTAGTTACTTACCATGTGGGCTTTTAACTGCTTACGATGAGCACAAACAAATGTCAATAAACTTGCTTCAGTATGTAGAAGTAAAGTAAAAATAATAAAAGTTCTAAAAGAGGTCCATCATAGCACAAAATTTTATGAATATTTTTCCCCTTTTTATATTCAAGTTGAAACAACAAAATGAGACAGTCAAGTGTCCGTTAAGCTGTCCTAAATTAGATGATTAACTGAAATGGTACTTCTGAATACCTGATTTGTTTTTGTCACCCAACAAACTAATTAGACTGTGGTGGGGCAATCTCTGACTTTGATAGGTATCTGTGACAAATTTTTTCGGTTCAGTCATGGAGACGATACACACTGATTCTGCTTATAAAGCATTCACTGGCAAAGATTCCACATTAGAGATGCCTCGGGAAATCCAGCCAAGACATACGGCGAACCCTAGCAAGTTCAGATGTTCAATGTCCAACCAGTGACTCAAATATTGAGGCAAGTGTTAATTACCACACCCTTTCTAAGCTTTTCTGTTGATAATTTATCGGGTAATTGCCAACCCCATTTAGAAAAACAAAGTTTGATTAGGAATGAATGCTACAGGATCCACAAGATTCTTGTCCTTTCACACATTTTTGGAATTCAATGAATGACAAAATGAGAAAGGTTGAGGGTCTGGATAGCTTGGTGAACTTTAGCTTGTTGTTGATGTTTCCGTTGGTGGCATTTTCCTCTTGGCTCTCATGTTGAAGGTAAAACAATTGTCCTTTCTGCTCCATATTCTTTTTTTAATATAATTAATATCGTTGGTAGCAAAAAGTGGACAAATTCTCCTATACAAGGTGTAAATTAAATGTCATCGATTTTAGTTTTTTTTCTCCCTGTTAAAAAAAAAGAATATCATTGACATCTTGATTGTAGCAAAATTTTGGTAGTTATAATGTTTTGAACTGTTTTCTAATATGAAATGGAAAAATTATGATGTATCACGTTCCGAACATCTTTATTCGAGACTTTTCGGGCTTCAAGTGAATTATTACTGTAGGCCTCTCCCCTCTCGTAGGCTAACAGAGATTGGAGCCTGGTAATTGCTACATTACACCCTTCACATTCTGTTTCTTGTTCTTATTTTCTCAGCCTGACCCACTCCTACTCCCATTTCGTGACTACCTCATTTCCTTCATCTCTAATTTAAGAATATCTTCCTTTTGACTTGTTTCCGAATGCCAGGTGGGCCCGTCTTCACATCTCAATTATCTGTATCATACGTTTTTGGCCCACCCGTTCCCCTTCTTCCTCCTTTCTTCCTTGTGCACCATATGCCCATCAACTCTGTTGACTTTGCACCATAACTGAAGATAGGTCTACTTCCATACTTGGCATATTATATAATCGAGATCCGACTTTAATCTTTACTGAATGAGGTAAAGTTCTTCTAGCGGCCCTAACCCATATTCTCCTTCATCTTCCATGCATAAATGTCCTTTATCTAACCATTCCTTGTATGTCTTGCTTTCTCAAGTTTCATTTTGTTCACATTAGGAAATGTCAACTATATTTACATGGGGAAACCCAGACAATCCGGCAGCCGTCTTTAGTTGATAAGTTTGAGTTTCTTGCCTCCTAGACTGGTAAGTGTCCTTTCAAGTTTACATTATAAACTGGCCTTTCAGATTAATTATACCTCTCTTTATAATGCCTTCTGCCCTTGAATCATCTGATCGAGTTTCCTTTCATGTGAAACTTCATCTGTATAGCTATCCCACTATGGAAGGTTAAATTATCCTATCAAACACCGTCATGTAACTGTTAGTGTCTACAGTCGTGCTAGGGTAAACCATTTCCCTACCGATTTGGGCTGGTATCTAATCTGCATTTGTCTTCTGCTGTTCGTCCAGTCTGATGTTGTCTCTTTTGGTTTTTAACATTTGAGCCTTCTTTTTCAGTCTCAGAAGCGGAGGCAAGATATCAATTTTTTTGAAACAGCGGAGGCAATAGCAATTGATACTTAAAAGGAGCGCTATTGGTCCTGCACTATTTCACTTCCATGTTTGTTGAAAACATTGGTTCGATGCAAGCTGTTCATCTAATGAAAAGTGTCCCAGCAGCCAATTGAGGCGCCATTGTACTGCAAAATAGAAATTATAGTACCTTTCACAAGTAGAGCAATATAGAAATTACTAACCATAAGGTTTGCGAATTCTTAAGTTTGGTTGAATGGTAGATAAGGGTGGCAAGTGGGCCGGGCCTGGTCCTAAGTGGGCCGGTTCTATGCGGTCCGGTCCCGGGCTTCGCGGGCTTATTGCTGGAACCGGCTCGGGACCGGGACCACGAACTAACGGTCCCGTGTTAAGTGGGCCGGTCCCGGGCCTAAACGGGCCCAACAGAAACTTTGTATTTTTAATTTTTTTTTTATTATAGAAGTTAGAGAAAAAAAATAGTAATAAAGATATATAAGCTATATTCGATTTATGTACTATATATACATCTTAAAATNTGGAACCGGTTCGGGACCGGGACCACGAACTAACGGTCCCGTGTTAAGTGGGCCGGTCCCGGGCCTAAACGGGCCCAACAGAAACTTTGTATTTTTAATTTTTTTTTTATTATAGAAGTTAGAGAAAAAAAATAGTAATAAAGATATATAAGCTATATTCGATTTATGTACTATATATACATCTTAAAATATATATATATTATATTATATACATAGTATACATCTTAAAATATAATATATATACATCTTAAGATATATATATATTTATACACACACTATACTATATATACATAGTATATAAGTCATATTCGATAGTATATATATATATATTAACATCTTAAGATATATTATATATACATCTTAATATATA